AAATGTGTGTTTCAATTTCCAAGTCATGATTTTGGATTTCCTCAATCTTATTGCTCATCAAATTTTTTGAAGCATATAACCTGCACTGCGCCAACACATTAGACAAAGGCTGACTAAGTGCAATTCTGTTGTCTCGGATCAGAACAATTTATTGAAGTGCCGGTGCCTTGTTAGTAGGTTGTGTATCTTTAAAAACTCCATTTTATTATTCATTTGTTAAAATATATTTCAGAGATTCTTCAGCATGGTGTTCATGATGTGTTGTTCAGTATGTTAGTTGGGGTGTGCAGCCCAGGTTTCGGTGACTAATGCTGCTAAGTATTGCATGTTAATCCTGTTCTGGCAGCAGCCAAGGGTAAAAGCCTCCAGTGACTGACAACCAGCAAAGCTCTAACATGGCACCTGCTCTCACACCATTTCTGCCCCCGGAAGCAAACACACGACCACACACGACCACACACACACACACACACACACACACACACACACACACACACACACACACACACACACACACACACACACACACACACACACGCTCACACACAGTCTACACATGCAGAGACCAAGCGGCAACCTCCGGTCTTGAAATATGAAGTCAATGCGAGGGTGTAAAATCCTGCCGTTCCTCAAGTGTCCACTTGAGGCTGGCTCCAGCTACACAGAAGCTCACATACACATGACTGGCAAAATAGCTCTTTTTGCAGCATAAATTAACATGTTTACAACCTGGTACAAAAAACAAAATAGGTCTGATTAGTTACCGTCATCATGGGCACACACTGTGTATCTTTTAAAAACGGCTCCGTTTCCATTTTGAAAACGATACGTGTTAGGCGCGTAGCTAGCATGATTGACAGGTGGCCGTGATGTTAAGGTTTTGTCATTTCCAACATGGCGGCAGCTGCCAATGAGCCTCCGGATTCCCCTGCCGTAGTAGATGGCTGATGTCATTCAGGCTTCGTCCATTAATATATGGTCTATGGTAGAGACATGCAGTGCACAGTGGAGAAACAGGAAGGATGGCAAAAAAAAAAAGTATTCACCAACACGCTCGGGCTCCTGCTCCAATCTTTCACATCAATGTTATTGGACTCAAAGCAGATACCCTCATTGAAAAAATATGACCCCAAACTAATCTTATGTTTTTGCACTAATCACACTTTATTGATCATGTGCCATGTGAAGGACAAACTGAGTACAATTTGAAAACGACAAGTGTAACAGTATGAACTCATTTGCAATAAACTTTAGGGGAACGGGTTTTACAGCTCTGGAATTGTCTTTTTTCAGACTCAGTGTTAAGAATGAAGAATTTTGAAAAGTGACGAGACCCTGTATTATGAAAGGAGCTTTATTGGTTGTGCTTTGTGCACTGCACCTTCTCTCTGCTGCCGGGAGCAGCATAGAGAGAGAGAGAGAGAGAGAGAGAGAGAGAGAGAGAGAAAGAGAGAGAGAGGGAGGCTTGTAACAGGACACAACCTCTCTGGACACTTTGTCGCAGTGCCTGACACCAGTACAAAGCAATTGGATGTTACCTGCAGTATCACAGAGTAACACAAGCCTCTGTCCTCTGCAGCCACTTTATACCCGCACTGAACAGGAGTAGACACAGTCGAGACATTATTAAAGATGCAGTCAGTCTGATTCCTGTTGGGTCAGGATGCTCACTACACATCTCCATCACAGTTCCGATGTAAACATTAAAAAAGAGTATTAGTTACTACATTCAAACTTTGTGCCTTTTCTTTGCTTTTCTGCATCAGTTTATTACATTTTTAGGCAAAAAACAAATTGACACCCCCCTCCCGCTTTAATGACATAGGAAAAAATACAACAGGAGACAAGTAGTTTAGCTTCTTATGAATATAAAGACATTTTATATTCATCATATTAAGTCAGTGATGATTAAATATAGCTATTCATATACATTCACAAGGTCATATGACACTACGGACGCAGAGGCTGCTTTTGCAAAAACAAATGCAGTCTGTAGAATAATGATGCAGACAGCAGATATTAGCACAAAGCTCAGACTGGCTGCAGATTATCTCCTACAGTCACAACAGAGACAGTCAGCAAGATAATTGTGCCTGATGGACAAAATTGGGTTTACAGAGTCTATTGTGGTGTTATTAAAGTGTACCTGCAGATTTGACCACCACTCTAAACACAAGACAACCATGAGAACTAAAACAACTTGGCATGATCATCTTCTCTGCCTCTAATCTCAAATCAGGTACACAGGAATTTTTTTATAGCCTTTTCCACCAAGTTTTATTAAGTAATAGGTCTGTAGTTATTTAACACAAGTCTTTGTGTTACTCTCATCCTATGCATGCATACCAAGAGTACAAATCTAACTTCTCCAATTTTGTTCCATATACTTGAGAACAAAACTATTTGCTGAGAAGTTTTTGCTTTACTTGTGTTTTTCTTTTATATTTATCAAATGACCAAGCTCTAAGGCACTAGGGTATACTCATGTTAGCATAACATGCTTAAATATATTTATTAATGAGTTTTTCAGTATTCTTGATAATAATTACAAAACAGCCTTCATCCTTCTATCCAGCTGTCTTTACATCAGACGTGTCTGTGAATATGTGAGTGTTTGGGTGTACCAAGAAGAAACATTGACATCCCTTCTTTGGGTCCTTTGGGTATCAAGGTGAGTGAAAGAGTAGAAGATTGACTAGAGAGTGGAACAAGATGGAGAGGGAAATAGACATGAGAAGGCTGGATTGAGAGCAGAGAAAGTGTGTAAGTGCAGAAATACACTGTGACTGTGTGGGCGCAGAGCTGGAGCAGGAAAAACAGAGATGGAGTTTGATACAGAGAGAAATTGGAAAGGGAGGCATGGCGAAGCTGGAAGAGAGAAAGGGAGAGAGTAGATAGCAAGAAAGTCAGTGATGAGGGAGGAGGAGGAGGAGGAAGGAGGGCTAGATGGCTTGAAATGGGGAGAGCATGTTGGTGTTTAATGGAGGGTGAAGAAAGGTGAAAGGCAGAGAGTGCATGGAGGAACATAGCACCAGAGGCTCTGAGTATCTTTTGTTCACGCACGTTTCGACAATACGCGACTTCACACCTACGGTAGCAGGCAACCCCACACCCTGCTACGAAAATCAATATGTGTTTTTTTTTTTCTTTAAATGTAGTTTTAATACAGCAACTAATTTCAAGAACAACTGCTGTAAGGATTGACATCTTTACAAAGAAGGAACACACATCTGTAGTACTTTAACTGAAATAAAACAGATGGATAAATAACTAGATTGACGTGATGAATATAAGAGGGAACAGACGTCACATCAAGATGTTTCCAGACAGCTTGAATTGTTTTATTTAGACCAAAGCATCAAACTGGTTCCGGGTAGATGGAGCACAAAATCCAAAAGTAAATCAGCGCTAATGGAAAAACCTGGAGAACAAACAAGTCCAGAGAGACGGCTTGATGAAGTCGCCGCAGCAGAAAAACACAAAAAGTCTTTAATGATAAACAACACAATTTCTTCTTTTTGACTGGCCTATGAAACAACACTTAGAAGTATTTTCTGATTTGACCCTCCAGTAGGCAGGATGTTACAGGGCTTCCAAAATCCTTGATAAAATGAATATGTGTCTGTTAACAATGTTTTATGAAGGTTTTAGGATTAACATGCATAAACAACTTGGTGACATTAAGAGAAACATGATTAAGGTACTTTCACTTGCATTGTTAAAAAAAGCTTCACATTAACAGTCAGGTGCAAAACAAACAGCCTTTTCCTGTTCCTAAAAGGGATGTTTCTCTTAACACATATATCCATCACTACCTCCTACATGGTAGCTGAATGATAACAACACATTACTACAGCTGCTAAAGGGCTTTGTCACTTCAACATATACATATGTTATGTGGGTATTTGCTGAGTGAACAATGCTGACATTTTCAGTCTCTATATTTTCTACCAACTGGAATCACTATAAGAGGCTGGAAACACAAATGAATCACATTTAAAATGTGGCATCTCTCCTTGTATTTACTGTGTTTGTTTTTCTGTAACATCCTTATACTATAGGTTGTTGTTGATTGTTCCCAGCTCTAGTAAAAGGCAAAGAATGGGTACAATAGTGAGCCTGTGAACGTGATGTGTGAAATCCACAGTCATACTGACACACAAGTGAAAAATCAGATGACAGATGGGCTCAGAATTGCCAAACAAGAGTGACAACTCCCACCTGATCCGTGTAGTACTCCAGTATCATGTAGAAGATGGTGTTTCAGTCAGAGTAGATTTACATAAGACACTTCAGAAGCACTTTGTATTGAGGTAACACAAAGTGATAATCCCTGATTTCCAGACATAATGTATGTGCTCAACTACGCAATAATTAGCCAGTTATTAATCACGGTGGGGGGTTCTACTCTAAATCTCACTTAAAAAATTGGTAAGGAGTGTGCTATCATTGTTGTAAATGGCTACGCCCTTGCTGTGATTTTAATGCCAATTGGATGCCAACAGCATGATGCTTACATAGTATGCAGATGTTTAAGATGCATAAAGTTTACTTTGTTCACAGCCTCTTTTAATCATTTTAACTTGCTAAAATTAGCCAATAAACTCATGGCAGTCTTCTTAGGCTGATGATAATGCTATTAGTTTTGTAGATTATTTGGTCACAAACAGAGGTATTATTAAAGATGATATTTTATCCCTATTGAAACACTGGATGGAAAGTTAAGCGATCACTGAAGTTATGAAAAAGTAATCCCAAACATTCTTACAACATGATGGCAGTAGTACAGAGGCTGCAGTCCTCAAAGCATGCAGCCAGGGTTTGAGTCTGGCCTGTGGCTCCTATCCTGCATGTTTACCTCACTCTATATCTCCTTGATTTCTGTGTCCAACCGCCGTCCTTTCTCTTTAATATATGCATTCAAAGTTTTAATCCTTTACATCGATATGTCTTTGTTTTTGTCAGAATCATTCACCTCTTACACCTGTCTCCTCCCACAGGTGCTTCTTTCTGGACTGATCGGAGTGGTGTCATGGAAGAGGCCACTCTCTCTTGTGGTGAGTGTCTGAACGCACATATACTCATCCACTAATCTGAGGACCCAGGAAGCTGTGTATTAATGTGATGATTGAGATGTGACATACAAGTTGGTACAGAAATATATACATATTGAAACAGACGCTCTGTTTCATTCCTGTTTGCATCAACACACGTAGATTAGCAGACGCACTGCATGAGAATACAAATCATTTCGGAGTATCAGATTTCATTAGCTTCTGTATATGATTGACCTGAGATGAATACATGCAGTCTTGAAGCTGTTGTTTCTGCATTTAAACACATGATTATATAGTGCCTAAAGGTCCAAACCCTGTTCCTGGTCAAACTTGTGGTTTAGCTGCAGTGAAAAACTGTAACTGTCTGTAGACAAGGTGTTGAAAATCCTGGGATCACAGCTACACTGTCGTCTGTTTTCACAGCAGCTGACCTGAGTCAGTCAGAAGTGTTAGCTGTTTCCCCCCTTCCTCCTCTTACAGATGAAAATCATTCAACTGTTACTCAGTTCACACACACAAGTAACTCAGGATTAAAACCCATATGCTGACATAGAACTCTCTGAACTCACATTACAGGATACTGAGACAGGAACTCTCAAACAACAAGAAGAGATATTTTTAATTTTTAATGGAGAGATTAATGGAACTTAAGTAAGAAGAGTTAAAGGTCTCCTCAGGGTTGAACTTAGGTGACTGCAGCAAATTAAGAGAGGTGGACACACAAACACACCCTCTGACACATGATGAGAAGTTTAAATGACATTACAATGTTCAATGTGGTACAATATGATTTATTCTTTTATTACCATCCAAATATTTTCTGTAGTTTTGCCATCTGATTTTCCATTATTTTATCCATTCATCATTTTCCACATGTTACCAAAGTTGTTGGTTGGTAACATATGAGATAATGTGCATATCAACTAGAACAAAAGATGACACAAAGGACTAATTGTTTCTGGACTTTGTAATTCTGAAATGTTACAGAGTGTTACCTTTTTAAGTCTCAAGTTATCATGTGATTCTCACATCAAGATCTCAGCCAAACTAACCAAGCAGAGGCATTATACTATATTTTGTCTGCATTATTGTTCCCTCCTACATCACGTTTTTTTGTTGATGTCATTTTTAATTTCAAATTGAATTGTCTGATACTATCTTTAAGATATCCAGAGGCAATTAGCATGCAAACATTTTAACAGTCCATTTACTGATATGTAAATAAATGGTGTTTATGATGCATATTTTCCTCCAGCAACAAACTGCACAACATTTAAGATGAGGATTTATCACTGCATGAAAAATCACTGCAAACAAAATGAATGGCAGCCTTCTTTGTGAGGCTTACACCACTAAAAAGAGAAAGGGCATAACACCTTATCATATTTTCAATTCTCTGCTGAGAAGAATTATATACAGCTTTCACTTGACAGTTGCAGTAAACTTAAATTAAACTTTAACTTTTGTTAAAAAAAATGATTATTATGATAATTACAGACCCTGGCCTTGCAGTTTAGCTGAATACCTGAGTTGTAAAATCTTTTTCTACTTCTCAGAAGAACCAGAAACCATTTTTTCTGCAATGATCGAGACTGAAAACCTTGAATTGACTGTCATGTAGTTCATTTTGTAACCCTTGCTTTTCTCGGTTAAATGTGCGTTTTTTTTCTCTCCTGCTTTGTTCTACAAAAAGAAACACAGATGCATTATGGTTTTTACTTGTGACTGAGATGATGATCTCTGTCCCACATCACAAAAAAAGCCCCTGCCCAATTCTATTTCATGCTTCTCTGAATGTCATAAGTAATCTCATCTCATCTCAGCTGCCTTACCACATCATATCGCACCCCTCCGCTCTAACTGCAAATCACTTGTCTCGCTCCCTTTAGTTTTATCACCTTGCTTCCCTGACACACGTTCCTGCATCCTCTTTCTTCACATGTCTATCATCCGCCTTCTTTTCTTTGCCTTTGTGTAATATTAAACCAGAGGAAGAGATCTGAATCTTTCATAGCTGAAGGGGATCAAAGAACATATCCCATCACTGAGGTGTGAGAAGAAATTGGTCACACATTGTGGACTTTAAAAGATTGAAATCCTCTTACCTCTCTTTCCTTAAAAAGCATGACTAATTAACTGGAATAGTCTGTTCTTGCCAGGATGCAGAGATGGTCTCAGTCTGTGACCACTAAAAGCACATTTCTGGTGTGATTTTGTTACTGCTGCATGTAGTGTTTAGTTTTCATAGTCAAACATTCCAGTTTCTGGCCAGGACCCAGCTATGACTGGCAGGTGACTAATACACTGGACTCTGGACTCTCTGAGGCCTGGCAATGCAGCTCCAACCCATCTGTGAACTGTGGGTGGCCCTGCTCTGCATCATGATCTATAATAACTGGACCTTCTACAAATTGGTTTAGTTTAATTATTTGATTTTCTTCTAGCTGACTTATTCAAGATGGGTTTGTCATTAAAGAAAACACAAGGACCAGTGGATGATTATATGATCTGAACAGTTTTAGATTGATTCTAATTGCCCATTAATTTAGAGCTGTAAGGATTATCTTGTGACAAAATAATTCAGTTGAAAAAATATAATCCAGATCCATTTAACGACTTATGAATCGGTTAATATGAAGTATTTCCTCAAGAAATAAACAGCACCACTTTCATTCTATCAGTTTGTTATATTGGCTTGAAAAAAAAAAGCAAATTAAAAGTGAAACTAAAAGTCAAAATTTGTGACATTAAAGTTGACCTTATGCTGATCCCCATTTTGAAACTCATATAGTTTTATCAAACTGGATGCCCATACTTAACGTAAGCATCCACTTCGCAGTCAAATCAGCGCATGACACTTCCAGTGTTTCCCCTACCATTATATTAGGGGGCGGCCCGCCCCCCCCAACGGCACCCCCCGCCCCCCCTTGATGGTCAAGTTCATGTTATTTTCTATATAGCGCCAGATCACAACAGAAGTCATAAGGATACCTTTCCTATAGAACAGGTCTATACCTCGTCCTTTTATTAAACAAACTAAATGGCCTTATGTTATTTATCTTATTTACACGACGGCATGTCATTTCTGTCTCTACATGGTCACACGTTTACAATTCTCCTCTGCTCTCTGTGTCGTGCACGGTGGAGTTTCACCCTGATACACACACACAGACACTTGCGCGCACACACTAGCTGAGGCCTGGGTGTGTGTGGTTGTGTCTGACGGCCGCACATGCAATAATAAAAAGTCCGTAAGAAGCATCAGATAATAAAGTAGTCGGCTTAGTTGAATTCAGACTTTTCTGGGCATGTCTCTCTCCCTCTGCTGTTACTTAGGATGCGCTGTTAGCATGCTGCAGTCAGGGGTGCTCAGACAATGAGAGATGCATTCAGGTGCGCTCAGAAAGTTGCAGGAACAACTCACAGGACCCGCCCCCCCCCCCCCCCCAGAGCTCTAAAACTAGGGGAAACACTGACTTCATGCACTATTCGGATGGTTGGAGATGAATGTGTCTTATGCCACAGTGCAGAAAAACAGGTGCATCGTGGTGGGGAGAGAATACATGTTGAATATTTTAATATTCTGTCTAACCCAAACTTTCCATGTAAACTTCACATCAAAGATGAGAAAAGGCACTGTGTGGAAGGAGGAATCCTCTTTTTTTTCTTATTTATTTATTTATTTTTTACCTTATCTGAAATAACCTAGAAACATTGTCATTTTTATCCAGTCAAGTTTGATGCATTAACACTGGTAGATTTACTCGGTATCATTGAGAAGCAGGAGGACGACCCGGAGTCCTGTGCTGTTTGTGACTGTGATGGATTATGTGTATCGGGAGAGATAGAGAGAGAGTTAGAGGGCAGTAAATCGTTGTTTGTCCTGCAAGGAAACAAAATGGAGATAGTCTCCAGTGCAATATTTGTCTCACCAACTGTTGTCCGTTGTTGTCTGGTGTGGTGTTTGTAGCACCAGAACATCATCACCTTTATTTGCACTCCTATGCGTTTTCTCTCTTGCTGATTAAATATAAATATGATTGATACTACTGTCATGATCATGTGTTGAGAAGGAAGATAGAACCAGAAGGCAATTAGCCTAGCTTCAGACGTTCCAGTAGTGCAGAGACGCTAGTGTTATAGATGTTCTCTAAATTAAAGCTTAAAGTTAACAAGCACATATATGTTAAAATGTTAAAGTCATTATCTTAGTGTATACTCTGGGGTCACTGTGGCTCAGTGGTAGAGTCAGTCGTCTCTCTACTGGAGGGTCAGGGGTTCAGCTCCTGCAGCGACATGTCGAAGTGTCCTTGGGCAAGACACTGAACCCCAAATTGCTCCCGATGCTGAATCAGCGGAGTGTGAACGTGTGTGAATGGGATTATTAAATATTGATGGAAACATAGCAGCCTCTGCCATAAGTGTGTGTTATTGGTGAATGTGACGTGGTGTGAAAAGCACCTTGAGTAGTCAAAAGACAGAAGACTACAGTGTTATATTACCATTACAGTTTTAGCTCAGTGTATGTAAAAACAGTTTTGCTGTTTCATTCATAAAAAAAAAGCAACATTACCACAGCACTGACTCGACATGTCTCAGGATTGACTTGTAGTCTGGAGAGAGTTTAATAATGGAGAGGTAGAGCTTGAGGTGAAACAGTCAGTGCACTTGTGAGGTGTCAGACAGAAAAAGAGAGTCAAACATGTGCAGCTACTTTACATTCATGCTTTCACAGGGATGGAAGAACAAGTTGTCCTTTGGTGACAGAGCAGTGACAGAGCAAAGGGCGGGAGCGGAGCTCTGAAGGTGAATCTTGGCCCGGATGCCTCGCACTGCTTTTCTTCAACACAGACTTTGTTTGTATGGACTGCAATGGTTGATCTCATTCTAAATAAAGCAGTGTCTTTGTTGAAGCCACTCCAGTGCATAAAGAAGGAAAATCATGTTCATGAAACCTAAAGCAGAATACTATTAGAAGTGATGTTGCTTACGTTCCTGTC